AAGAGAGTTTCTATTTTTGAACACACGTGTCCTTTATTTTTTACATCAGTAAGTGGGGCTAGGGAGGGGTAAGTGGAAGAAGGTGAGGGAGGAATGGGGCACGAGCCCCCGATGGGGAGGACTGGCATGGCTCTGTGGGCTCCTCGGGGTGGAAGCTCTCCTGCAGGGCTTCCTGGATCCTGACAGCCCCTCCATTGATGCCCCCGGATGGCAGCCTGCGGCAAGTGCAGCCAGGCTGATGGCCGAGTGCTGTGATGTCCCAAGTGAGGACACTCAGGGCACTCTAAGCCAGGACTGCTTTGCTGTCCCTCGTTGAGGTAGACAAGCAAGCGGGGAACCCTGAGAACTGTCTGTCCGGGGTGGGGGTCGGGTCCCTTTAAGCACAGCCCTCGGCTAGCCTGAGGCAGCAGCTCCACGCTCTAAGTCCTAACCTGATGCCCTGCCGGCACTGCTTCCGGCCAGCCTTAACCCCGGTTCAGGGTCCACTCAATGTGGACATGCTATTTCAAATTAGCAAAACGCTAATTCGAATTAGTTTTTAGGTCTAGATGCACTAGTTCGAATTAGCTTATTTTGAATTAACTAATTCCAATTAAGTTAGTTCGGATTAGTGCTGTAGTGTAGACATACCCTAAGGCACCAAACCAGTCACACAAAGCACGTCAACTGCCAATATAGTTGCACAAGAAAATCCTCTTAGAGACTCCAGCTTTACCTGTACCACAACCAGGACCACACCTTACACAAGTGAGAAGTTGTGAAAACCAATCTCACCAACTCTAAACAGGTTGCTAAGGCACCAAACCAGTCACACAAAGCACGTCAACTGCCAATATAGTTGCACAAGAAAATCCTCTTAGAGACTCCAGCTTTACCTGTACCACAACCAGGACCACACCTTACACAAGTGAGAAGTTGTGAAAACCAATCTCACCAACTCTAAACAGGTTCCCCCCCCCCAAACGCCCCAGCCACAATGCCAGGTCAATGTATTCCTCAGATCTTACCCAAAAGAACGTACTGGGCCAGTCCTTCGGAATCTAAAAGGTTTATTATTAGAAGAAAGAAAAAGTTGAGAATGAGATTGTTAAAGAAAGCACATCACATACATCAATCCCCAAGATCAGCGAGAGGTCCTGTGGCACCTTTATAGACTAACACCGTGGTCCCCAACACGGTGCCTGCGGGGGCATTTGCATGCGCCCGCCAGGTGCTCGGGGCTGGTCTGGCCTGGCCCCGGGCACATGGCGCACGGTGAGCGCCGGCCCCGGGCGTGCGACGCTTGGGGGGGGGAG